AAACCTGCTTCGCGCTACGCGCTACGAACTTGCCTTGTTCTTGATGAAAATAAATAAAAACGGTACATACTCTTAAAATAATAACTAAAACGGTTTTTATTTTTCTTTTCGAACACAAAGCAGTTTACGAAAAAATGTAATTGAATTGTTTAATCATAAAACATGTTAAACATACAAAAAAGTTGTGGCGTACAATGTTTCTTCCTGGCTATTAACTAGATTACTCTCTGCACCGCCTCTGTCGAATTGCATTAAAGTAGCCCCTTATTACCATAAACGAAAATTTTAAATTTGATCAAAATCACAGAAAAGGTTTTCAATAATTCATTAAAAAAATATATATTAAACGTTTCACATCCTGTATCTCGAAAAAAACGCAGTTAGGACATATGTTTTACGAAAAAAGTTCTCATTTTTACCCTAAACACCGATCTTAATCAGACATTGGATGAAATAAATTATATTATTCACATCTGCTACGCATTTTATTGAATTCCTATTTAATAATTAGCATTGCATGGAAATGTATTTCTAAATTTGACAGGACATGCTTTTGAGCCTGCTAGCTACCTGGAAAAATGTATGTGGTTTGCCTTTCAGATATTCTATACCTGTATCGGCTATTTAGCTTCTACAGTAGCTTGTCCTATGCCAGATAAGTCTACTTACAAGAAAATGAACTTTGTCCTAAGCCAAATCAGTTTAGTTTAGTGTTGGCCAATTATTGGTCCTATCTACCGACCAAGACGGATCAATTTTCTGCAACATTGATAGATATTCAGATAAATAAATATTTATTTGTTTCGGAAACTACAAGAACAGTAGATAAAAACCAGTCATAACAAATTCGTTCAAGCAAACCAACAATAAAAAAATTACAGTGTCCGAACTACACTAACTCAAATATATTGTATTCTATTAATTTTATTTTCTTTATGAGAGTAAAGAATGATATTTATATCATATATATACTTTATCCACCTGCTAATTAACACGTTTTGTAAGATTTAATTTCTTTCTTTTCATCATTCTGCAGTGTAGTCATTTTATTGGCCACACGAGGGATTTTTTGTTACTAACTGCACAATTAAAATACTAACATTGCAAAAAATTGGTGCATGTTTCATAATCATATCAAGTACACTTGAAATATTTGCTAGTTAAATGGCGTACAGGGCGGGACAAAAAATACAAAAATTGCAGAAGAGTAAAGTGCCCAAATTTGTGTAGAATTATAAGTTATCCCTTAATATCAGGTCAGGGAATACTGATATAAAAAGTTTTTTGTTCGAGAAATCTTAATTTCTTTACCTTTTGTCCAATAATTTTTCCTACTCCCGCCTGTAAAATACCTAATTACACACCGATCTAGCATGCGGGGAACGTCATTTTACCACGTCAGTTTCGTTTCCCACGGATCCGAGCCACTTCGGACATTTCCTGGATTTTACCGCACGGATTTGTCGAATGTCGAATGTCGAATCGAATTTTGACGTTTGTCAATTCTGACGGTCATGTCAGTGAATGTATTTGTTTTTTTGCGAAAATGCACCCAAAAACTAACGGTCGTAGAAGAAGCAACACTTTCGGTAAACTTTTTAACTCACTCGTTTATTAAAAACTCGCTCCGCTCGTGTCAAATAAACTCGTGAGTCAAATGCCGTTTACCGCACTTGTTGCATAATATACTATTAAATTTTTTACTTTTACATTTTTGCCCTTTTAAATTTAAATTAAAAAATTAAATTAAATTAACTAAACGCAAATTTTATGTTTTTCATAACACTTAATATTTTATAAAAATTCTTTTTAAGTAGCCAAGCTTTGTTAATTATAAAAAACATAGTGATATGTCATCATTTAAATAGCAAAATTTTTATTTCAATGATTTATTACAAAGATTTAGTAATGAAAATAACCATAAAAACTTACAAATTTTAACCAGTTTATAACAACGTAATTTAAAAAATAGGAAAAATTACAAGTTTTAAGAAATTATGAATAATTGTAATTATCGTAATTGTACGATCATAAAATTCGCAAATGGTGTAATATTTCTGCAATATAGTCTTATTGAATTTTCAAGTTCTTCAACGTTATTAAATGGTCGATCACTATAATCAAAATCCCGTTTGCTTTCGTTTTTATTAAATTCATTTTCATTCATTTGAACTAAACTTTTTAATTTTTTCACGTTGAAATAATTAAAGCATTGTTAAAAAGTGTGTAGTGTCTCTTCAAAATAATCGTACCTGAAGTAAGATACTGAAGTGAACCAGGAATTAAAATTTAATTTTGATTTAACCCGTATATTAATGAATGTATAGACCCATAACAAAAATATTGAAACTAGGATTTTTGTTTTTAATGTAGGATTATTTGCCATTGAACGAATGCATTATGCAGAAACCTATATTTGTCGTATTTTTGAACAATTTACGAGAAAAATGACCGCCGTCAGATTATTGGGGTTTTATTTTTGTGAATATTTGAAATTTTAATGTTTCAGTGATCCCTGATGGATATCGAAAAAAATATTATCATCCACGCTTCGGCGGTGGCGTTAAATTTTATTTTTATCCTAGAGATGAAACTTTTCTAATATCAGCGTAACACATACCGAGGCAAAAAATGAACAATTTTGGAGTTTGGAGCTTTATTATTTTGCGAAACTCTTTTTCTTTTGATACCCTCGGGGTATGTATGTCAGCTGGGTACGACATCTTTCTATTCATGACCTGAGAAAAATCACCCTCCATTGTGTGCTATTAAAATTTATTGTTTTATATAATAGAATGTAATAATTATATAACAACAACCATATAGACCGTTAAAAATAAATAATTAAAAATACTGTACTCCGAAGTATCTGGTGCATAAAAAATAGAGTTTCATGCGTTTTTATTGGCTTATTTTACGGATTTGTTAAAAGCGGGGAATGTTTAATACAATAATTACCTAGGGATTTGATACATGATTTTTATGCGCACTACTCTATTATATTTTGGTGTAAAACTTGATGACCTGCGCAATAAAATCGCAAAAATCCTGACATTTTTCGCTTCTCGGTTTTATTAGCTCTATTGTCTCCACTCTTTATTTTAACAAAAGTAATGCAGATATGCCATTACTAAATTTTATTTTCATATTAATGATGCTTTAAATAATTAAATTTTTTTTCCCGATGTCTCTTAGCGTGTCCACTTTTTAACGATTTTTTTAATATTTTATCTATTTCGCTACAGGCTAAATGAAAAATGAAAAGATATTTTTACCAATATTTTTTTAAACCTGGAATAATTTGAATTCTTTTTGAAACTCAACCGCTTGTTTGAATCTGTTTTTGTTGTTTAGAACATAGTTTACAGTATACCGGGTGACACAAGAAAGTGAGAAAACTCTTTAACTTTTAAACTGCGAATTGAAATTTGGAAGGGTTACTGTAGACTGAATGTCCAATTTTTTGACAATGTGTTGTCACTTCCGGTTTGAGCGGAAGACAGTAACTTTCGAATTTTATATGGCACACCCTATATTTTTGCATTCTTGGATTCATTTTACGTAGGATAGGACGGTTTTTCTCTTTTTTTTTCTGTTTTTTAATTTTTACTTAATTTTTGAAAATAATAAATAGATACTATTACCGGGTCACCTGATCATGGCAAAAATTATAAATGAAACTTTTCTCTACTCCTCTAATGGCAAATAGCATTTAATGTAACAAACTATAAATTTCTAACGTAGTTTTTTCTAATTCCATCCTAGTTCGAACAAAAACTTTTTAAAACCGGTATTTTGACACAAAAAATTTTCAAAATCCTTTTAAAAATAAGCTCACAGGAAGGAAAAAGCCAGATAGTAAATATATTTTTATAAAACAAAATCGGTAACATGTCGATTATTTTGCAGCTTTCTAAAGAAAGAATGTGCAGGAAGGCGACGTCCCGCATAGCGGGCTGCATACAATGCACGGGCCTGTCGAGAGTTTTTTCTGCATTCCCCGTATGTCAGAAACACTTTTTTCTCCTTTTGTAAATCCATTATTGTTTTCCATGATAATCATCATCATAATCATCAGATAAAAATGTACAAACAGTCAGAATTTTCAATCATTTCGAATTGATGATGAATAGAAGCAAAGCCCCCTAAATAATATTTCGTTTTTATAAAAATGTATTGGTAAATGTTTTTTTATTTTGATTTTGAAAATTTTGGTGTAAAAATGTTGCAAAAAAAGTACCGGTTTTAAAAAGTTTTTGTTCGCACTAGGGTGCTACTTGAGAAAACTAGGTTCTCCTAAAACATTAATAGTTCATTATATTAAATGCTATTTGCCATTAGACAAGTAAAGAAAAGCTTCATTTACAATTTTTCCCATGATGAGGTGATTGTTATGCAACAAGTGCGGTAAACGGCATTTGACTCACGAGTTTTTAAGTAACTCAAACGTCAAAATTCAAAACGTTCGATTGAAGTGGTTCGGATCCGTCGGAAACGAAACTGACGTGGTAAAGTGACGCTTCCCGCACGCTAGATCGGTGTGTAATTAGGTATTTTATAGACGAGAGTAGAAAAATAGTATTTATGAAGGTCACAGCCTCCTAGACACAATTTTTAAAAATTAAATAAAAACAAAAGAGAAAAACCGCGCTATTCTACGTAGAATGATCTCTTGGACATTGGACATTGACTAGTTATTGTCCAAAAATTGTAAATCTAAAATCTAAAAATCAAATTAAAAGTTATACAGTGTTTCTTGTGTCGCCCGTATACTGTGTTGTCCACCTCACTGCACACTGTTTTTATAGTCTTACGGTGACTACTCTTTTAAACCTAATTCTTGATAGGATTACTTAATCTATTCAAAAATAGTTTTATGTGTTCCGAGGTTTGCAAAATATCAGAGTAACACGGCTCACCGTTCCGTGAATTTTGACGTTTTATCCCGAAGCGCGGTAACGTGGTCTTTTTTTTCTTTTAAAAAATGAATATAATTCCAGGAAATACCCGAAATTAAGATATTTTACGACGTATATAACTACTTAGCGACATCGCAGGCGTCGTTTTGGAGCTTTTATTACGACTATAAGCCGTACACCAACCCGTCAGAATGGCTGCCTCCTTTCAAAGGTGACAAGATTTTCATTTGCACGACGAAATACACCGTTATGTTTAATATCTCGCGCTCTTTTCAGGCCACGCGATGCTGATGGGATCCAGGCATTATGTTACATTCGACAAAAAGTATTACGAATTCAGCAGCGGCAGTTGCACTTATTTACTGACTGCCGATTTTGCAGTGCGTAATTTTACTTTGTTGGTTTCGTACGACGACTCTTCAGGATCTACCAACCGTCTCACGCTGCTGATGAACAAAACCCTAGTAAACATTGACTTATTTAAAGACGTAAGTAACCTCCCTATTGTTACTAAAATACCGTCCCTCCAAAAACAAACGGAATATGTGTCCTTCCGTTTTCATTGTCTGACTAACGTTTCTTTTAAGATGACTGGACGTAAAACATGGTCCTTTGAGAAAGACGGGTCCTTTGTTTAAATACAAACAAGCTTTAATTGACGTGAAAATGTCCCGAAAAGGGAAGATTTTTCAGACAAACGCACATTGTCCTTTTTCCGTTGTTTCGTTCACTTTAACGTGTGACAAAAAGAGCGTCTCTTCTTTTTTTATGTTCGTCGGATGGGCCTTGCTTGAATTCGGGAATATTTTATTTATTCGATTTTTGCGAGACCTCAGTTAAATCTTCCACATCGATGTCCTAATCAATTGTTTGCTTTAATTTTTTTTTGTTAAGTTATGGTTTCCGAAAATGTTGAAAAACTCATACATTTTTAACCTTTCGCCAATAAGGGCTTGTGCAATATTAGAGGGAATTGAACAAAAAGTTAAAAATAAAAACAGCTTGGATTATTTTGAACATTTTATTTATTATAATTTTACTTATATATTATATTATTTCAAATTTTTCACCTGGAACACCTTATATGTTAATACTGATTTGAATATATTTATATTTGAATATAAGGTTTAAATTCAACATTTCGGAACTATGGACGTAGGTATTTCAATCTTGTTTCAAATTCTCTCTGCAAGTTTCGAAATTATTCTTCGCCATCTTCAGCACGAAAAAAATTTCAAAAATATTTTTTTTCAAGAATAGACTCCTAAAAATATCTGTAGCGAACTTTGAAACATCCTGTAGAATTGAAGAACATTTAAAACACTTTCAATTCTCCTATAGCCATGAATTCCGTAACACAAGATCTTGACAGCAATAGTTGTTGTTATACTATTAAAAAATTTTGACATTTCCTTTATCCGCTATTGATTGTTTTTATTATTTTTTTCTTTCGTTCATGATGTTTACTATGGAATAAGAAATTGATATTGTAGAATGTTATTTATGAATAATAATAAAAGCGAATCTATAGATGATGAGAAACTACATGAATAAATTTCGACTCAGCTTAGGAGTGGGGAGGCCTACATTAAAAAAAGAAAAGACGTCTTCAGATACTCAGTGAAGAAAACCTGCTAAATCTTCTATTGCACTTTGAAGACAGTCCTGAAGCATCCACCCGCCAATCATCTTTGAATCTCAATGTTAAAAGAACATCATTGCAATCTTGCCTTCGGATTCAATAGAAGCCCTACAATCATTTGCCTGTGCAGAAAATCGAATTTTAATGTCAGGTTACAGCTCTACAATATTTTTATGGACAGAAAATAAATTTGTTGATGACATTATTTGGAGTGATTTCACCACTTCAGTTCAAATATTCAGTCACAAAAGCATTCATTACAGGAGTCTGTAGAATTTCAGTGAAGGTGTGGTGCGTGATTTGGAAAAATAAAATGGTAGACGCAATGTTTTTTGAAGGTAATTGAGGCTTTAATAAGCACCAGCGGAGGGACGAGCAAATTTACAACTCTAGTCCTGCCATAGAATACTATTTAAGTACACGGAATAGGGAATGGTGATTATCTTTGGCCCCCAAGGAGCCCGGCTTAACTCCACTTCATGGGGTACTTTTAAAAGCCAGTGTTCCATTTGAAATAAAAAAAGTTGAAAGTGTACAAAAGTACAAATTAACTTTTTATTCAATCCTTCCTGATATTAAATAGGTGCCTCATAAACAGGCCACCCTGTACAATATACATCGCAGGCGCTGTAGCTAATAGTTTTAAGGGAGCTACGTGATGCCAAAGGAGTTATCTTTGTCATTTTACGTTATCCTTAATGTTTTTAAATCAACCGTAATTATTTTTGTGTCTCAAATTTTTTTATTTGGGCGTGACACTCGAATTTATTGTAGAATGTGCCACATGTGACTAACAACTTCCGAAATTTAGTGTTTGTATAATTTAGCTTTGTGAATATAAAAAGGTGTCAAAAGTACCTCTCAAAATCAGTCTATGTAATGTCAATTCATTTCATTCCTCGACATCTTTAAATCACGTATGACTATTTTCGCAGAATTTTGAATTTGGAGAGAAACTGGAATTTATTACATAAGGCACCACATGCGACTAATAACTTTGAAAATATTTAATTTATTTAATTTATTTAATTAATTTGGTTCACCAGCTATTTTCTACATATAAACTGTCCCAAAAAAAATCGGTAAAATGTCGTCCATTGTCTTTTCCTATCTTATAATTTCTGGGATCGAGCACTGTATGTATACATCTGCTCCCACGATGGAAAGGATTTCATCGCTGCAGTAATTAAAAATTGATTGATTATAAAAGTTTCGAAAGTTTTAGTTAATAATCGGGCAATTACGATCTAATTGACTATGAAAGATTTCCACGGTTTTTTGAAAACAATAACTCATTTTCAGACGGTGACGATCGATAGTTCGGGAAAACAGCCGCTACCGTTCCAAATCGGCGAAAATCGTTTGTATAGAGACGCAGACATCCTCAGAGTCGAAAGTAATTCCGAATTCCTGCTTGAATGCAATATGAAGTTTCAAATATGCATATTTGAGATATCAGGTAAATATGGCAACTTGTATTTTATTGCATATAAAACAACGATTTCTGAAAAATGGATATCTGTGTACCCATAGAGCGCCTTGCAATTTGTGTTAGCCGGTGCAACGTCGAAATGTACCTGCGTTTGTTCATTTGGCGGATTTTTATACAAATTGGGGCTTTAAGTCGCACATATTATATATATAGCAAGCTAGCAAAATTTAAAATCTACTCTCTCACCAAAACTAATCAAAAAAATCAATTCGAATAAAATTATTTCAAGCGGCAATGGATAACAATCTCCAAAACTGCCAAAGCTGGGGGTTTTTGAACATATAGACTTCAAAAGTGCTAAGTTAGATTTACCACTTTTATCTTAAATGGAATGCCCTGTTTATGATGTTGCTATTAATTATGTCGAATTATGTCAGGTCCCGTAATTTTGTTTCTATTAACTGCTGAGTATCTGCAATACCAAAAATCTGTTAAAAAAATAATTATTATAATTTTGAACTGAGGTGGCTTTTACTTGATGAAAATCCATTTAACAAAATAAATAAAAACTAAAAGTTCGGATTTTCACGAAATTATATATTTTGACACGACAATTGTTTCGACAACATCGTGTCTTTATCAAATACAATATTTTCAAACTACCTGCTACAATATATACCGAAAAAAACAAGAAAACCTTAATTAATATTGTTGTTAACAATTATGAATCCACAACCGCCGAAATTATATTCTCTAGTTAAATTATATAAACAAGATATGTCCATTAGACCAGTCGTGCCTTACGTAAATATTTTAAAATTCCACACAAATTTTAAACGAAAATTTGTAATAAAAAAATATTTTGAATTAATCAACAAAATTAAAGATATCAAAATCCCTTCTAACGCAGCGCTATTGTCTTTTGATGTACAAAACTTAGTTCCTAGCATTCCACCTATGGGTGTGATAGATTTAGTAGATTTCGCCCTAACTCGGAAACAGGTTAACCCATTGGTGAAACAAGATTTAATAGATTGCTTAATAGTATCTTTAGACCAAAATCATTTGGAATTTAATGGACAGATTTACATTTCTAAGGTAGGTTTGATTGTGGGAAACCCACTTAGTCCTCTGTTAGCCGAGATTTTTATTTACTTTATTTTTTATTTATTAAGAACGTCCTTTAAGTAAAAGTTTTCTATGGTGGTATAGATACGTGGATGATGTCTTTGCTTGCTTTGTTGGAACGGACAGACAATTGAATTGTTTTTTAAATTACATTAACTCAATACATAATCGTATAAAATTCACTATCGAGATTGAACAGGATAACTATTAATTTTCTAGACTTATCTATTACGAAAACGCCAGACAAATTAGATTTTTTCATTTACTATAAACCTTCACACACTGACACAGTCATACATAACAGCTCAAATCACCTTTATACACACAAAATGGCTCCATTTCACTATTTAATACACAGACTTCTTAATACGCCCCTCTCAACAGAATATTGCAACAAAGAACTTAATATCATTAAACAAATTGCACTGAACAACGGCTACAATCCGTCCATTATCGATAAAATTATAAATAAAAAACAAATCCAGACAACAGTAAACTCTATAAAAATTTTTAAAAAACAATAAAACGAAATGTCCAAAATCTCAAAAATCAGGTGTCCACAGGTTAAAATGCGAATCTAATCGTAAAATTTATATTGGACAGATAGATCCTTCAAGAAACGCATTAACGGACATAAAAGAGCGTTTAAAAACAATAGTCTAGATTCTAATTATGCCTCACACTTAAGCACAGACAAAACATTTTTGATGACAATTTTGATATTTTATATACGGCCACAAAAAGTAGAAAAGTAAATTTATTGAAAGCCATGGACATTAACAAAATGAGACATTGAGATATATTGCTTAACGATCAATTAGATTTAAATACCTCTCCATTACTAAAATTCTCACAATAACTTAAATTAAGGTTTTATTATCATTTTTCGGTATATATAATAGCAGGTAGTTTGTTAATATTACATTTGATAGACACGGTGTTGTCAAAACAATTGTCATGTATATATATATATATATATATATATATATATATATATATATATATATATATATATATATATATATATTCTCACGTATTGATTCACGGATGGAAAAATGTGATGACACTATACTCCGGGATATCATCCGTTCGCTCGTTGAACTCCGACTGGAATCCTGCATCCGACTGGAATCCTGCAAATCCTGCATCCGACTGGAATCCTGCAGACGTTTCGCCAAAATCTCACTTGGCATCTTCAATGCTCGCGCTCCGAAAACACTTCGAACACTGTGTGAACGAAGTGTTTTCGGAGCGCGAGCATTGAAGATGCCAAGTGAGATTTTGGCGAAACGTCTGCAGGATTCCAGTCGGATGCAGGATTTGCAGGATTCCAGTCGGATGCAGGATTCCAGTCGGAGTTCAACGAGCGAACGGATGATATCCCGGAGTATAGTGTCATCATATATATATATATATATATATATATATATATATATATATATATATATATATATATATATATATATATATATATATATATATATATATATATATATATATATATATATATATATATATATATATATATATATATATTCTTAAGAAATGGTTCTTGGGTTTTTTTTGGTCCTTTTTTAGTGAAATTAAAATAAGTTTCCGTTACTTGTGAAACATTTTATTTTTTGTGATATAGTTATTTGGTAATTTATATAGTGAACCGTTGATTTTTGGCTTAAGGTATGTGTGTAATCGTAATATAAAAAATTATGTATGTTTTATTGTTGTGCATCTATTTTTATACAATTTTTAATCACTTTGTTTGTTCTATTGACTTGCACTAGTAATTTTTAATCATTTCAATGCTGACTCCTATACAAACCAGGAAAACAATGCTATAAATAATTTTATTTAAAAATACATTTTTGTAGGTTAAAATTAAATGTCTGAAGAAGGTCTTGAAGGCCGAAACGTCACAAAAAATAAAATGTTTTACAAGTAACGGAAACTTATTTTAATTTCACTAAAAAAGGACCAAAAAAACCCAAGAACCATTTCTTAAGAATATATAAAATCAAAAGGATCCAAGAACTCACAAACTAGAAATATATATATATATATATATATATATATATATATATATATATATATATATATATATATATATATATATATATATATATATATATATATATATATATATATATATATATATATATATATATATATATATATATATATATATATATATATAATTTCTGAACTTTTAATTCTTGTTTATTTTGTTAAATGAATTTTCATCAAATAAAAGCCACCACAGTTCAATTTTCTTTTGTATTTGGTAAAAAACATCAACCGTGACCAAAAAATATCCAATCAACTAGCGTCTAAAGCGATTTCATCACCCTTAAGGTTAGATGCGGTTATCCTACAGTTCATATGGGTTCATATATTTTCTTACCTGTTATCCCGATGCGGTTTATATTAACTCCATTTTCGTGAGCAAAGCACGTTCGAGGTTAGGGTGAGGTGCAGGATTTTGATTCTGCCATTTTGTTTATCATATTAAACGGTCTCTGTTGTCTGCCATTGCTGCGCTTTTAATAAGAATTTTGTGCCGACCCGAAAACATTTTTGATCCATTGGAACTATGAATTTAAAAAACATTTAACTTAATAAGTAAGTTTTGCTGCGGTTCGGAAACTAAAGGCACTCTTCTTTTACATCTAACTTGCCCTCATATTTGACAGAGAGAAAGTAAATTTTTCATTCAAATTGGTGTATTTGTTTGTGTTTGTTCTATTGTATTTGTTATAAGATACTTGATGCAAGTTCAACCCGCTAGAAAAGGACAGAAAAAATGATCTACTCTTTGAAGTAGCTTCAAACTTGATGCATCTAAGGAAGAAAATATTTTCAAAAGATCACATATGTTTCTTTGTTAGAAAATGTTTTTGGCGAGTTTTAAATTCAGTTGCTTGATATGCCTTCTGTCAACCAATGCTTTTTACGACCTGAAAGAATTTGAAACATAAATTACAGGAGTGCCCTGATGAGTTTAGTGATAACTTCTCTACATTTTGTCAATATATTTGTACTGTTTGTATATCCGTTTGTAACTATTCTATACTGTACTGTTAAATGTGTCTTATCATATTGTTTATATACATAATTCCATGTATCTTTATACTACTCTATAATGTACTCGTACTGGGCTTTGTGAAAAAAACTATCTATCTATCTATATCCCGTTATAATGGCGGTAAATGGTAAAAGCAGTTTTACCTATTGGTGATAAAGCATTGGAATAACGAATATTTCGAGATACGTGTTCCAAAATGTCATGGATCAAAATCAAATAGGGTAAAAGGCAAATTAAATACATTTTTTTGAGTCAATGTTAGTTTTTATTTATTTTATTATAATTTTGTCGTTTCAGCTTTGGATATATTTAAGCTTTCCTTACTAAATTTGACATGCGCAATTAATGGGAACAAAAATAAATAGGGCATTCCATATAAAATAACAAAATTATGACGCGTGACTTCAAAGTGGTTAATCTGTTATGGTTTGATATTTTTAATCTTTTGTCTCTTGTTTCTGTATCTTGCCTCTTGTGTTTATGAAATGCTTCCGATATATAAATCAAACTTTTTCTAAACTGTTGCTTTTTAATCCGCATGTATAAGTGAGACATTTATATTTGATGACGGCGTATCCCTTGATAGTCTAACATATTGCCTACTCAATAAGTTGGCTTGAAACAGCTTTTATGATAATAATTACAATTATAATTAATTGGCCTCCGAAGTTGAAAAAATATTTTTCAAAAAGTTAATAAAAAGTCTTTTGATCTTTGCAATTAAAGAGAGATTCAAAAACATAGCAATGTTCCAAATTTTAATTTATTTCACTTCTTCGGACGGGTGTTTTTCGTTCGTTTTTTTTAATTGTCTTTTTTATGTGACACGAATTTATGTCGAAACGTCTGCCTTTTGACTTGAAGAATTAAAAATTTGTCCAACCAAACCATAATTCTGCGTTCCTTTCCGTTAAAAACTTTTTCTCCTAATTCATATCGAGGTTATGTTTAAATAATGCTTATTGTAAAACATAATGTTTTCTTCTTTTCAACGAAAAAAAACCGAATTAATATCCTTTTAAGTGGGGCCTCGTCCCGTGGGACTCCACTCGGACGCGAACAAAAACCCCTAATTTTTGCCCTCCAAAAAAAAAAAAAGAAACGTGACAGGATGAAAACCATACGCGATAACATTTTAACGACGTTAATTTAATACTATGTCTGACACGAGCGAAAGTGATGATACAGTTTGTACAACAAGCGAAAAAGTCGCTCGAAGCTAATCTCACTCTCGTACATTTATAACGTCCATGGCCCGGGGATGGCGGACATGTTAATTGCCAAATGAAACCCTGCCATATCTTTTGCCTTGTCATAAGATTATCTTCGAGATTAAGGGCTCCGCGTACCATTGGTCATCCTTAATCTTTAATTTGTGCGATATGTTTGGTATTACTTTCCGGAAATTGACTAGTCGGGGTTATAACTAATATAAAGCATTTTCCATTGTAATAAGGGTTGTTGCAGAGGGGGTTAAATGACTCCGCACCTTTTAATAGAAAGCTAAAAAAAATTAATATGGTATGTATTTGGAAAAGGCGATACAGTTTTTTTTTTTTTAGGCTGTCCGTCTGCAAATAGACGCTCCTTTAACGATTTGCGATCGATAAAATGTATTATTTTCCAAAGTATACGCGCTCCTCAGTAAACTCAAGATCTCGATAACGGTACAGAACGAATCGTAAAAAAAAAAAATTTTATCTCTCCGTTACCTGTTCTCTGTAGACCGAACTCATTTATGGCCATAACTTTCGAACGGATTAAGGTAGGGGGTTGCAATTTGGCTCCTTTTTTACCGTCCACGATCCGCACAATATACTTAAAAATGATCGCGATCGGACCTTGGCGTCCATCTTTTTTCGACTGTTTTTTGAACTTTGCTATGAAACACGCTAAGTGCCCGAAATTTGAATCTATCGATTTGAAATTTAGCAAAAGCATAGAGCTTAGGCCCGTGACGGAACCTATTAAAATTGAGAGGGATGAGTTAATGGGAAGTATTTTTAAAAATTCCAAAACCATTTTTTTTCAAAAACCAAAAAGTACAATCGTTCATCGGATCCAAAAAATTCTTCAACGAAAAAACGCAGAATACTGACTCCCATCAACTTGTATTCTTGACGATTTTTTTAAAATATACAGGGTGTGCCGGTAATACCAAAAATCTGAAAATTGAGTTACCTTTGAAAGGAAAATTGACTGTAAGTTAAATACTGGTACTCAGGCTTCGGTTTCTTCTAGATGACAGTTTAGTCCACAGTGAGAGAGCTAAAACTCTTGTATTTAAAGTGTTCGCATATATACAGGGTGTTAGAGATATAACGTGTAATGCTGAAAAATGCAGCAAATGCCCGGAATTTGCAGCTATTGACTTCAAATTTGGTAGAAAGGTGGTAAAAGTCCACCCCGCATGCAAATTATAAAAGCTAGGTGCAATCTGGCATCACCAAATGTTTTTTAAAAATGTTGGGCTGTATAAAAAAATTCATATCTCGAAAACTATTAAACCGATCGGTAAAATTCATGAACCGTAAAACGGAGAAGGTCAAAAATTACAACTTTTATTCCAGGAATTTTTTTGATTATACACAGGATTTGTTGTTTGTGGACAAAAATCCGAAAGACCATGAAAATTTCTTTTTTCTCTAAAAAATTATTAACCGTAAATCAAATTTCGTAAAAAATATTATTAATCGATTCAAACAGTGTCAAAGACCGCATCAAGAGCTACAATTTTTGTATGCCCGAGATATCCATATGAAAATCACTATTCCTCGGACTCAGTCTAGACGCGATGATGTCATTTACTACTGCCACGTAATGCATGGTTTCAGAAAACAAGTATTTTCTTGAAAACCACTTACTCTATTGGAAAAACTCATATACCAGGAAACGTGGGAGATCCACTGCTATAACCTCTATTTCTGATATTGATTGAACTATATACAGGGTGTGTTATTCATGGGCAAAAAATTCAAAAATATTCTAAAAATTTCCGTTTTTGTGGGTAAATTATTGGAGATAAATAAAAAACTGCTAAAGATGCTATAATTTGATTTGAACAGTATCGTAAACTGTGTCGACAGAGAGTTTCAGGTTTTGTCAATTATACAGGGCGCGAAATATTTGAAAAAATATCATTCATTACCAGTAACAATTTATATATCACCAAAGCTTGCCGTAACTTTGAAGTTCGACGAGATGTGAAAGACACTTTATACTGTGTGCATACACAATTAAATTACATCGATTTTGGAAAAGTTCCATAGTGGTCCGCAGGAGCACGATAGAAAAACAATGAGTCCCTCTATGACAAGAAACCGCGAAGCGCCTTCTTTTTAAAATAAAAAGCTGCTTCGCTCTACAAACTTGCCCCGCTCAGCGACGATTTTTCGAAAGCAATCTTGTGTCTTTCTTTATACTATCTGGTCTCCAATAGATAAGACTCGTCTATTCTTCTAAATACCCCTGGTAGCTAGCCGTCGTATTGAAAATTTCTCAATATGTGACCGAAGTAGCTAGCCTCCCTTTTATTATCTTTAAGAACTCCCTTTCTTTTCTCTTTCTTTTCTATTGGTAATTCTATTTACTGCTTGTCCATACTAATTCGAAATGAAATTAAAGCAGCTTCAGAATATCTGGTGCTGGGTTAAAAAAATTACTAGTTCACTGGCATGTTTATTTAAAAATGACGTAGATTGACACCATAAGGTTTAAAAATTACTTGTTTTAATTTGTTGCACATTTTAAATGCTTTCTTGGAAAGGGAGCTAGTTTAATACGAAATTTTACTGGGGGTTTGACAGTCACAGCATGTCCTCTGAAGGTGAATCAGCAGCGATTCTTTTTGTTTTAATTTAATTCATAAAATTCTTCTTCTTGTTGTTTTTACGTTAGGACTGGGTCCTGTCTTTTCATCAAGGGTTTGCCAGGAGTATTTGGAATGCTGAGGAGCAGCTTTTATACCATCTTATAGGTGGGCGTCCAGAAGCTCGCGTTATGTCTGGTTTCTTTTCCTTTGGAAATTTTCGTAATTGTTAATTTGGCATGCTGGTCTCTTTATTCTTTTCTGCGACTCTCATCTTACTACATCCTGAATATTACACATGTCCCTTATTCCTACATTTCTCTTCCGATCGAATAACGTATGTCCTGTTATTGATCTCAGGGTTCGAATTTGCTATTCAAATTCGCAAATTCAGTAGCAATTAATTTAAAAGCTATACAAACTTACGAATATAAAACAAAAGGAGTTTATTTCAATTCACATCATTATCAAGAGGTTCTGGACAAAATTGTTTCATTTTTTAAAGCTGGTTTATTTTTAAGACTTTTGAATACGCGAATTATTTAGAATATCTATAATTGTCAGCATCCCATTACATTTCTCTGAGTTTGTGATCGCAGATGGTTTATATTATGGACCTCTCGAGGACTACCCAACACTAACCAAAACTAACTGCATATTCTATTTATGTACTTGGTACATACTGTAGCATGTAGCATGTCCTTTAAAAAAATGGAGAGTTTCCAGAATCTATCATTGGACATTGCTGCAAATCTTTCAAAAGCAAAAAAAAGACGCACATGAAAAACCACCACTTTTCTAGCTTCAACAAGCACAAAAAATGAGAAGTGCCTGAAAAATTTGAGGTTATAGCCATAGACAAACTATTATCATTATATTGCTTAGTTGTTATGCCTTACGAACATAGACAAAATAGATCGTTTATTTGCTATGAATTAGGGACGACTGTTTTTTAGTAGTAGCTACTAGCCGCGTTTGGAAAATGAATTAATGAAATTTGATCATGATGTTATTTTATTCGCTGCCAAATGCATTTTATCTTAGAAACTAAAGACAAAAAATCTAGTCAAAAGAATATTCCGAGCACGACAAAAAAAAATTGCAAAAAAGTTTTTTTTGGAGAAAATATTCATAATCCATTTGCAAACATTTTTATAATATTTAAACATAAATGTGAAGGTTTAAACTCATCACCCAATAGTTCAGCATGGTAATACCAAATACAAAAATTATACTTTAAATGTTTAGTATTCATAATTTTACAAACTTTCTATACATAAAAAAATTACTGTGAAACAAATGCTGTCATTTTTAGATGCATCAAAGGATCCTTGAGTAAAATAAGGAACAAAAATAAGCTGTCCTTTCAGTTTTCTGTTTCCAATTTTCAACAAAGTTTTCGAATATTGTTTGAGTTATTAATAAAAAACCTAATTGAGAAAGACATTTTAACACACTGCATGTAGTACATACCTTTGAGTACCACCTTGTATATTTTACAGGTTGGCACTTCGCAAGAACAGCCGGTTTATGGGGCACTTACAATAACGAACCGTTCGACGACCTTTTGGACTCAAAGCTGACTATCTACAACGCATCCGACGCAGCAAAATTCGCAGAAAGTTGGTCATTGGACGACAATAATTGCGGAACCATCAGCATCGACAAAGATCAGCAGCGAGCCACTTCCAAAGAAGTCTCTTCCCTTTGTCACCAATTCTTCTCCAGTAAGTTATCGGATCTCAGCTTGTGCTTCCCGAGAGTCCCAAAGGAACCCTTCATGGACGCCTGCATCAGTAGCGTCGATGCTTTGGGAGCTTGTCGATCGGCAGTGGGTTACATCGAGATGTGTGCGAGGGAGAACACACCAATTCGTATTCCCGATTCGTGCGTTAGGTGAGTCATGAACGATAATGTTTTTCTCATATATTTAAGCTCTATCTCATCTATGTTCCAAACAAAGACATATCCAGTTAACAGGATAGGATGTGATACAGCACAGCTTTGAGTATTTATCATCAGGCAACTCCTTCAAGCATTATCTCAACTAAATTTCAATTAAAGAGAGGATAGAATGCACTAAAACCTTGTATATTATCATCAGGTTAGATTAGCAAATCTTTAAAGTATTATTTCAACCAAATTAAAGCTCTATCTCGTCAGGGTTGGTCTTTAAGGGTTGTGGTCGTAATAAAATTTGATATGGGGGTAGACATCAATGAACTGATTTCTTGCTAGTAGTTCACCCCTATTAAAGCAATGTTTTGAAAACAATGAAATTGACTTCCTATAAAGGAACTCTCATAACAAGTTATCCAAAAAATGTAATCAGTTGCGGAGGTGCAGAATTGTATCAAAAATTGCAAAAAAGCTAAGATGTACTGCTGTAGCGATTCTTATGTTCTTGCAGGAATTTGGCGGGTTTAAGATGCGAAATATTTGCAAAAAAAACATGTTGGGTTTGCTCAGATTGAACCTACGCTTTCGTTTCGAGGTTTAGCCTATTTTTCGCCTTGTTTATTCGCTTTACACGCATTCAACCATAGACTTTCCGGTCAAAGCGTTAATCAAAGTAATGCCTTTGTGTTTGGATTCGCTGTCACTGATGTAAATAATTAGACTATTTTCGAGAGATTTTAACTATTAGTAAAATTTATACAGTGCTTGCGATCTCGCATACCCCAAGAGATAAATTTAGAGAAAAGCTGGACATTTTACGACCATTTATTAAAAAAATTATGGTTCTCGAATGAAATATGGGGCATTGTAAAGAGTACAAATAATAAAAGTAAAAAGGTATTAAATTCTTCGCTTACTTGAGAACAATTTTACTCTTATTTTGTAAACATATCAAATAACCTCACCACTATCTTTCAAAAAACAGATGTTAGTGAAATTATTAGTGATTTAAGTAACAGTACTGCCAAAGATGTGTTTGAACTTAGTCATAAAATTCTGAAGCAGATAGGTGCAGATATAGCTTTCCTCCTTCAATTATTGTTAATAAATGTTTCCTTTTGGGTACATTCCCGAAGAAACTAAAAGTCAGCAGATTAATACCAGTGTTCAAGAAGGGACAGAATAGTGATCCAAACAATTCGGAAAGATTAACGGAAAACCCTTTTATTTGTGTAACTGTGTATTAGTTTTTCGGTAGATTTTTGCAAAACAACACGAATGCATTCACTGACATCGTCAGAATCGACAAACGTCAATAAACATCCGATTGCTCCCAAACCCGTGCGGTAAAATCCCGGAAATGTCCGAAGTGGCTCGGATCCGTGGGAAACGAAACTGACGCTTCCCGCACGCTAGATCGGTGTGTAATTAGGTATTTTACAAAATAAAAAATACTTTTTTGCTCTGAAATTATTTATTTTGTTGCACTTAAGAATACATTACATGTGTCAAAAAAAAAAAAACTCGAAACATACAAAAAAATACTGGTGCGTAAGAGAAACACTGGGGAAAAACATTAAATAATGTTTTGGAGCACGTAAGATGTAACATAATTTATACATAAATATATAAAAGAAAGTTCAAACTCGACAGAAAACAACTAAAAGTAGATTGTTTTCCAAATAGAATCTGATTTGATACAAGAAACGCATATTTTATAGTGCAGGAGTACACCACTGGTAACACCAAGTTTCATTTTTGGTGATATTTTACAAAGCATGAAGTATGTAAATGCACATTACACTTATTACAAACGTAAATTGTGTGGCTGTCGCAGATTCTATATCTCCTTCGGGCTTTATTAGCATGAACAATTACGAGGTGACCTTGATTATCATAACGCACTTCATCTATGGCAGGTGCAAGATTTCTTTGAGTAATTACTTTATCAGTTTTTAAAAGTCGCACAGCAGTGTAAGATTTAAAATCAAATCAATCACTTCGTCATCAAAAAACATAAAAAATATTTCAAGCGGAGTTTTATCCAGAAAGCCTATTTTTTAGTTCATCACATGATCTAAATTCATCGGATATAGGTATGTGAGTGCACTCAATCTGTCTTCCATTTGACAGTAGAAGCAAGCCTGTCGTTTGCAGGAAGCATACGTCTTCTTTTGAATTCCAGGGTTTCATCATCTGATGTATCCCATTCAGGTTCAGTAGTTGATGAATTACAGAACTGTTGAAGGACAGCTGTATCATTCGGTGTATGTAACTCGAAAGTTGCAACTATATTAGTTGGTTCCCCAAACTGTTGCAGATTTATGTTATCGTTCATTACTCCTTCGTCAGACAAGGTATCCACGTCGGGTGGAATATAGATCGCGTCAATATGGTCTGTAAATATTTCTGCACGTTATTTTTAGCATAAATTTACAAGGAAGGAATGACTTTCATTGTTATTGTCCTCATAGCCACCTCTAATTCCTTTTGAGTCAAATACCTCGGAAATGCCATTTTTTACGATCTGTAACGTTAACTGCACAAGGAACAAACTAATACTAAAGAACACTCTAATTGTTGGATATTTATTCTGCATGCGCTGACTTGTCTAGACTTGTCTCACGCACCAGTAAATATTTTCAAAAAATAAAGCATAATCAATATAGTTAACAAAAATGGCATTACAAATCCAAAATATTTTTTTTTACTATTTTTGATTTACTTGAAAATGTGATACAAATGTATGTACCGCTTTTGTTAACTTTTGAAGCCATATATAAGATCTTTCCTTTACACATAAATTAGCGATTTATATGTTTTTATGTCCTTTAGTAGTGATAATAATAAAATTTCTAAATGGATTTGCAAAAATATTTCCTGGATGTGATAAAAAAAGTCATAGAATAGGTGGTGCATTAACGCACCACTGGGAGAAAATGGGTTAAAGCGGAAGTAAAGAGCATCATCCTGGAGATCTCACCGTACACAGTGGTCCAGTTTGTTGCTGGATTGGCGAGGGTCGTTTACAAATTTTAATAATTATGTCTGTGTTTGTTACTAATTTTAAATGTAAACCTATTTGGTTAGTTGAATTTTGATCTATTTGTATTTTACTTTATTTTTGCCATGTTTAATTGATCACTATTATGTACTAGTGTGTAAAAGCAAATAAAGCATATTATTATATTGCAAAAATTCCTTATAGACTTAAATCATTACATTTGCATAAACAAATTTTAAATAAAGATGAAGATATAAAAAAAACCGAAACTGGCAACCCTGTATATCTGCCCGATTGTGTATCAGCACAAACGGTGTCATATTGTTTAAATTAATATTCATAACGTAAACGCGAGTTGCGAATAGCGGCGATATTAAAAATGGAAGTATAATTTATTTTGGCGACCGTTGTAAATCGAAAACTGTTCGGTTTACTTCACGCAGCGGCACCGGGCAACAAAAATTTCGTAACTTTTTAATTAAGTGTATTGTCGGCGCAAATCAAATTTTACAACTTTGTTTTTTATTTGTCGACAAGCCTGATGGTTGATTTGACGCATTCGAGCGTTACACGAGGGGGCGCTATTGATACGGGAATTAGGTCGCTACAAATGATGACAATTTGTCGTATTTAGAAAAACCGCGTCACAAATGAGAGCGGAATATTAAATTTTTGTTTTATTTTTTTATATTTTACAGCTGCAACCTTCACAACGGTACCGAAATACGAGAGGGCGATTTCATTCGTTTTGAGGGTAGCGGCGTACTTCGAAAGGCCGATATTGTTTTTATCGTCGAAGCCAAGCCGTGCAATAAAGACCTCAAACTTCGTAAAAATTTTAATACGGTTTTAGATGCGATAAACCAGGAACTTGTCGCTTTAAACGTAACTGACAATAGGTAATACGAGCGTATATTATTATCAGCGCACGGGTCTACGATTTCCATTGTGATTTTCAGATACGCGGTTGTAGTTTTCGGCGGAAACGGGGTTTATGACGAACCCAGGAGTGTCGTTTTGAATTCAAGGACTTTTACCGACTTCGATTCCATTTCCGAATATTTCGACCACATTCCCGTTGGTAAGATTTTATGATTTATGGTGATTTGTGGAGGATTTACGGTGATCTATTGGTGAAGATGTAGAAATTTGATGATTAGTTCAAATGAAAGTACTGAGTCGGAAAGATTAACGGAAAACCCTTTTATCTTTAAACGAGCGGTGGTGGTGTTAGAGCACAGTAGACCAATGTTACAAAGAAAAGTTTCGTCACAGAAAATAGCAATATGCATAAATATTTTTAGAAATTATAAAAACAAAGATCTTATTATATAAAACATACAAAGAAAAATAATATTACGTGAAAAAAGCTAAACTGCGTCACAGAATACATTTTTTTTTCGTTTTATCTAATCTTGTTATAAAAATCATTTGTTGTCAGTAAAGATATTTAATTTTTTTTAATATGTTTTAGTTTACGTCTTAAGGAAGAACATTAATAGTTTTTTTACCCGGAATAAAGTGATTTTTTGTAGAAATATTTATTCATTCTTTTGACTGAAATTTCTTTCGTCTCTTGTCTTTTTTTTGTAGGAGTTAAAATTTTTTAGTTCTAAAAACACCTGTGCATGGCTCTAGTAGTTTTATGTGGCATATTAAAAGAAATATTGTTTTTTTATAATTTTATTATGCTACTGCTTTTCCCCAACTTACCAAATTATCACCGATCATACTTAGTATTCATTTAAAAAAGAAGGGGTATTTAAGGACGATTTCAATGTTCCTATCGCGAAATATGAGGTATGCTTTTGTAAGACATACAAGGTGTGTTCAAAAAGTAAGGTGACTGTTAAGTTTTATCAAAAGGTATTTATTTATTCATCAACATTAATGTTGTCCTCTTCAAAGTAATCCCCCCCACTTGTGCCAAAGTTTTTTCCAATCCTCGAAGCACTAATGGCAAGCACTTTCTCGTATAGCCTTAAGTTTTTCCAGCGATTTTTCCTTTATCTCCTCAATCGTTCCAAACCTGCTTCCTGTCATGAGTATTGCTTCTTCAAGCGCATAACTTTAAGGTCATAATTTATTGACTGTACGACCTTGTGGTAAGAACAAGAAGCAAAACCTTGACATTTGATGTCATTTAACAGCTCTTCAGCGATGCTCTTTCGGCGGTCCTTTTTTGAAAAATTAAGTAGTTTCGGAACAAATTTTCCTGCTACACGTTTCATGCCCAAAACTCTAATAGGGATTCGGCGATTTTCCAACATCATTTGTTTCACTTCTTCAACGCTTTCATCAGTTTTTTACGCAATGCGGCCTCCAGTCACCGGCATCTTCTTGGCCATCTTGGAGCAGCTTGTACCACTTATAAACATCTTTTTTTGCTCAAAATAGACTAACCACATTCCGTTGTCAACATTTCAGGTGTTTTGCAGCACTGTACTCCATTTTTTACACAAAATTTTATGTAAATTTATTTTTTGTTCCAATTTTTCCAAAACACGTCCAAAGCTTCTGTCACACAAAAAAAGTAAACTTGCAAACTTGCTGAAACTGTGCACATATGTTAGGGACACGTGTACCAACTTAACAAACCAATATATCTAAGATTGAATTTACGTAGCCCTTTTACAAAAGTCACCTTACTTTTTGCACACACCTCGTACACTATTTGGTTGGACCTCCTTAATTGACAGTCAAGCTCGGTGCCCACAAATTTTTTTTGCGAATTTGTAGTTATATCATCTGGTGTATTTTAACACTTATACCATCTAAAGGCATATGTATACGCCTGTGAATTCAACTACTACAGTTTTTCTAGGTTTTAATATAAGTTTTATTGCAATAATCGTTTCGTCACAGCATTGCTATAGCTTTTGGTCATCGCTTTATTCTGGTAGGTCAGCTATTTTTCCGACGTTAAGTGTTACATAAATATTGTATATATATATATATATATATATATATATATATATATATATATATATATATATATATATATATATATATATATATATATATATAGTTTAAGTGCGGACACGTACGAGTGACATGGACGCGCGGCATCTGAAGTGATATTTTGGCGAAACGTCAGGCTAATAATCCTACTCCAGGGTCAAACAGTGTTCGAAGTGTTTTCGGAGCGCGAGCATTGAAGATGCCAAGTGAGATTTTGGCGAAACGTCTGCAGGATTCCAGTCGGAGTTCAACGAGCGAACGGATGATATCCCGGAATATAGTGTCATCATATATATATATATATATATATATATATATATATATATATATATATATATATATATATATATATATATATATATATATATATATATATATATATATATATATATATATATATATGTATTATCGGCGAAAACTATAAAAACCATTTAACAATTAAAAATTGAATAATTTTTTTAGTTGTATATCAATAAATAATCGTTACAAGTTCCTAAAAAAAACATCCAAATCGTAGGTGAGCCCAAATATTAATAATAACGTCTGGGTTATTAAATCCCCGTATCTCCCGGTTTTCCTTTTCCGCCGTAGTTAAATTCTTAATTACACGCCCATCTGTTGCAGGCAATGGAAATGCCGACATATACAACGCAATCATATTTGCCAATAAGTTGATGTTTAGGGCCGGTGTATCCAGAAATTTCATATTACTGCCGTGTTCCGACTGTCAGGAGTACAATACAGAGGTAAGCATGTTACGAATTAGTTCGCGAACGACTTTTAACTTTATCCGTATATATACGTAGACTTCAAGCGGCAAAATTTAATTTCGCTTTAAAAACAGTGCCGGAGATCGCCGAGAAATTTACCTAACGATTTGCTAAGTCAATCGAATACGGAAAAGAAATTGATGTAGTTCTGATCAGATAAACCAGTAGCATTTTTATTTCATTTATGACACTGGTAGTTGCAGGTACAGGGCGTCTCAAAATTTTAATTGCGATCATCTACGGCAGTGTTCGTGTTCGTCATTTTTCACGATAGCTATCAGACATGAAATAATACGACATTGTTACCATTTAAACAAATATATAAATAAAATAAATAAATACATTTATTAAAATAACCAAATTAAATTAAAAAATAGGTGCAACATTATAAATAAATCGTGAAATTTGGAATTCTTACAAACTACGAAAGTTAAATGGTGGGGCAGAAATCAATGAGACGCTGAGGCTTGAGAAACTAATGCATCAAAGACAAAGGCAAAGACAAAGAATTTTCCAAATTATCGTCAGTCAACCTTGTTTCGATTTATTAACTTTCATCATTGAAAAGAAGTGTTGCGATTTTCTACCAAACGCGCAAATCAATCTCCTTGTGAATTTTTGAAGCTGTATTTTTAGTCTTCAAATTCAAAACTTTTGTTGGACTAGCAAATAAATGAAAACAGTTTTTCATATGGAGTCACTTGAGTTCTTCAGCATATTGAACGTAAGCAATATTTTCATACGCAGAGAGCGTGGTGAAACGTTATCTCTTACTAGAGAGCATCTGTACCTCTCAAAAGCGGATTTTGTTGTTTGTGTTATCAAATCATCTTTTTGCATATTTAATTCGGTTGGTTTTTTTATTCAAAATGGATGGAACATTTACTGAAGCGGACCATAGAAGGTGCACTATCTGTGCACAATTTAACTAATTTTGACCATGGAATGCCAAAACTTGTGAATACCTTTTGAGTTTCATTAGAAATACCCTCTCCTGCAGTGGTTCCTTATAGCGACTGTAAAGCAGGCAATTTCTCAATACCAGTGAACTCCTTATCAAATCAACAATATTGTTTTTATATCATTAACCATCATTTTAATGCCTCAGACAAATTAATTTTTATTTGCAGGCCACAAAACGATCCAAACTTCTAATGCCTCTCGCAATTGTTTTTTTCTCAATAAAAATTGGATAAAAACATTATTGTAAATGTCCTTATTCATTTTAATCGTCGACTTTTGAGACAGTCGAATTCTAGAAAACCCGAATGATTTTTTTTAAAATCTACTTTGATTTTTAATTCAAGACGTTAAGGAATTGCAAAGAAAAACAAACGTTTCAACACCCGATCCGTGATGAAAGAATCGCGATTAGGGTTGCCTAAAATATGGGGCTCCCCTCGCTACTAATCAATCTCCATAATCAATTGCCCGTCTTAATTTACCCTATAATGTTTGGCCCAAAGCTCGGGTTACCTCGGGTTTATTCGTACGTATGCGTGAAGATATGCTAGGCTGCGAGCTAACGAAAATTTTGATTGAAAAATGGTTAAATGCCAAACTCTGGCCTTCGAAATTTCAAAGTTGAAATTCTGGAAAGTCTTCCTCGCCGATTTATTTCGAAACATTTTTAAAACCATTTCGATTTTGTGTTCGTTATGCTGTACATAGAAAACTATTTTATTAATGTGTATTATGTTCTTTTCTTTTCCCGTAAGCTTTGAAAGCTTTAACTATTGAATAAATGTATTCAATAAAATGTAGTCCGTACTTTTTACTTGTCGAACAGCGCAGTTGAAAATTGCAAAGCCCAAACAGTTCACATAAGAAAAAAAGAATTTCAACTAATAAGAAAGTTCTACATTACGATGACTAAAATTGCTATTATTTAATTTTGTTTGGTTTTCATGTATAACTTGTTGCGTTTTTCCTATGGTTTATGTTTCGCACTTGTTTATTCCTGTATTTAATGGTTTGTCCTTTATGTTTCAGTACGATTATTCGGTAGTTCATCAAATCCTGTTTGAAAATTCGGTCGCATTGCACATCTTAATGAACGATTCGTTCGTAACGCAAGATGGCGAAGTCAGAAAACGGGACAGCAAGACACCGTTTGGTTAGTTCCGTTAGTGGAAGTTTCGTTTGTCAATTAATTTTTCGCCATTTTAGCTACTTCATGTAAAATTTCATTTAACTACGTATATTTATTCACAAACATAAAAAGTTGCTTCAGTTCATATGCTTTCACATTAATCTTATCTAGTCATACTTTACAGCCTGAGCATGGTTTGTTCCAATCATGTGAAATTTTCTTTGATTTAGAAATGGCTGTTTTGGCAAAATTTGCCCAAAAGCTAATGGTAGTAGAAAAATTATAGTATGCAACTCTTGATAAAGTTCTGCAGTTTCTCATTTATTAAACACTTGTTCCGCTGGTGGCAAATCAAACTCTTTACTAAATTAGCGTTTATCAAACTTGTTACAAAATATACTTACACTTCTTGGACACCTAACTAACCAAAGCTAGTTGTACGTTTCTTACAAAATATGAAGCACAATAGATCTTTAAATCATTAAACGTATCCTTTCATTTTATAAATCACCTATAAAATTTTTGTTTTTGTCTCGCTTAGGGGTCGATCTGACCACCGCGTATACTAAGAAGGATACGAGAAAACTGGACGGGGATCAAGTGTTGAGAGATTCAATCAACCTCCCCAAATCAACGCTGGGACTATGTTTTTCTCTTGCTCTTGAGACAAACGGTGAGTGTTGAACTCAGGTAACAGATTATTGTTAAACTCAAATTAACGAAAAACCCATATAAACATATTCGAGATAAATAATTATAGATTTCTGTTCATCTTTCTGGAACGCTAATTTAGTGGGCTCTTCCAATTAGAAGGCGATCTGGAGTATCTGAATTTGTGTCTGTTTTTCATCCGATTGTTTAAGAAATTGCAATACCATGATAGACATTGGTCGCGAGGGTGTACCATGGTCATCAAAACCATGGTGTATATCGAAAGGAGCGGGACACAGCACTACCTCCAAAATTTTGAGTGGGGTACTTTTCATGTTCCCTTTAATAGTTAGGCATATCATCCTTGGCTTAATCTTAAAGAGTATACGAACCTTTTCATTCAGCCGAAAAAAATAAACGTTCGAATTTTATTAATTTATTTTTATTGTGGTTTCTTGTAGGTACTGTATTTAGCGCGAAGCATCTCGAAAATTTGAAAATTGCAAGAAAGTTCGCAACGGTGTTCGGAAAAAGATTGGCCCTGTCAGCTATTCCAAAAGACTGCACCGACTGTGAATGTACCGCCCATAACACGGGGGTGTCGTATATGGAATGTTACCCTTGCACTTACCCGAGGTCGATGATGGAACGCCATGTAAGTTTTCACCAGATTTTTCTTGATACACGCGTTGGTGTCGATGTACATTCAAATATTTCTTCATTATTTATTCTCATAACGTTTTGTTTTTGTTTTTACAGAACTACAACGAAGAAGACGATCTCTGAGTAGAAATGCCGATCGACCATGTTATATTTATTGTAAATAGTTTATTAAGAATAAATAAAATTACTTAAGTTAGCTGAATTGTGAATTACAACTTTTTAATAAATACGAGTTAAATTCTAAATGTGTCCTTTTTGTTCTTTCTCTTCTGCTCATCTACTGCGGTCATGCCAGATTGTGCAAATTTTCCCTTATTTTCAAAAACGTTTTCCCTCATTGCAGGAAATTTCGTCCAACCTGGCAACACTGCACAAAATTGCCGAAATTCTATGGGGTTCTAGAACATTTATCAATTTTGGTGGATTTGCTGATCTAAAAAAAACAGTTCATTTTGAAGGCAGTTGAGCACAAAATCGCATACGCGCATCCGCCAAAAATATTCCAGAATAAAATAGATTTTCAGGTATTTTATGCGGTGTTGCCAGATTGTGGAGAATTTCAAAAAATTAAAAAAAAACTTCCCTAGAACGTTTTTCATTTTTGGTGGATGCGGTGATTTTGAAACCAGTGGATTTTGAACGCGCAAAATCGCATATTTTTAATGGGCGCATTCACCAGAAATTGGAACATGTTCTAGAACAAAATAGAATTTCGAGGATTTTGTGCGGTGTTGCCAGATTGTACAAAATTTCTAAAAATCTTTCAAAAATTTCAAAAAATTTTCCCCACATTCCAGGAAATTTTGCACAACCTGGCAACATCGCACAAAATTTCCGAAATTCTATCGTGTTCTAGAACATGTTCCAATTTCTGGTGGATGCGCTCATTAAAAATATGCGATTTTGCGCGTGAAACCAGTGGATTTTGAACGCGCAAAATCGCATATTTTTAATGGGCGCATCCACCAGAAATTGGAACATGTTCTAGAACAAAATAGAATTTCGAGGATTTTGTGCGGTGTTGCCAGATTGTACAAAATTTCTAAAAATTTTCCAAAAATTTTAATAATTTTTCCCCACATTCCAGGAAATTTTGCACAACCTGGCAACATCGCACAAAATTTCCGAAATTCTATCGTGTTCTAGAACATGTTCCAATTTCTGGTGGATGCGCCCATTAAAAATATGCGATTTTGCGCGTGAAACCAGTGGATTTTGAACGCGCAAAAGCGCATATTTTTAATGGGCGCATCCACCAGAAATTGGAACATGTTCTAGAACAAAATAGAATTTCGAGGATTTTGTGCGGTGTTGCCAGATTGTACAAAATTTCTAAAAATTTTCCAAAATTTTCAAAAATTTTCCCCACATTCCAGGAAATTTTGCACAACCTGGCAACATCGCACAAAATTTCCGAAATGCTATCGTGTTCTAGAACATTTTTCATTTTTGGGTTTGGGTACGATTTTACCGAATTTTACTTAAAATTTGCCGATATTTTTTTATCCATTTGATCAGGATAGCAGAAGTATCGATTAGGAATCGAAATTTATCAGGCGCGCGGCCAACTTCGATCAATGAGACAATTAAACGCTATTTTTCGACTATTTTGAGGGTAGGGGTATTTATCTTGAACCAATGAGAAAATTTTCCTGATTTTTGGTCGTGGATGCGCAATAATTTCAATTTTTACTCCTGATAATTTTTGATACCTCTTCGCTAATTCGTTATTATTTATTAGACTAGTAGAACAGGAGCTTAAACCGCACCAAATAAACACACAAGTGAATTAAACAAATTTATTGAGAAAACTAATTGAAAACAATGATAAGTTATTACATTTCCATTAATAACTCCCGAGTTTGGTGCCTGCCGTTTTTCTGTCTTGGACGCAAAATCGAACCGGATCAGCAGATGCTCTAGGGCCCCCAGATCTTCATAACTATGAACACAATAGCAAATATTAAAAAAAAATCATTTGCTGTAATGAATGTAGTGGGGAGGAATAATAATGAAAAACAAGCAGTAATTGCGTATGCTGGGAATGTAAATGGAGTGTAAAGGTTGTGCTACCGACCTCACCTCGTTCGGTTACAAATATTCTGCCTCCAAGATGTTGATACCGGCGTGGAGGTTTGCTCTAACAAGCAAGTATTGTACAAGTGATCTTTGAACGGCGGCCGCGCCCTTTGGAGCTCTGAATCTTACACAGATGTCCTTCACGTGCTTACAATTCTGAAACTTGCGAGTACGACTATAGGTGAAAGTGTGAGTGCAAAAAAGGGTGCGTGTTTTTCTTTCTGTACAGACAAGGAAAATCATTTACATATGAACAGGCTTATCTGTCCTCTGTCCTCCGACTTCTGATTCCCACAATATCGGTCGCTAGGCATTACTTCGTGGGGGTGAGGATATAGCTACTGCTCTTCCTTCTGGTCGCTTCCATCTCTTCTAATTGGCGTTCTTTTTCTTCTTTCCATGGATCTCAAATCTGTGAGGACTTCAGTTACGTACTCGCTGTTGGCGTTCGAAGTAGCTTCTGATTACATCTCTTCTACTACTGTCTCTGGTCGAATTGTGCGTGTCAGGGTTGTCTCCAGTTCGTCTCGTGGGCACTCGAAGAAAAGGTGCTCTGCATCTTCAATAACTCCTGGGCAATACGGAGACTCCGGAGATTCATAGTGCTTAAAGTGCTCGACAGCAGCCGTGTCCTGACAACGTCTTCTTTAGATAATAGTCCATCATGTGAATGAGAGAATGCGTTCTACCATACCCTTCTCTGTGGCATCCCACTGGCTCTGCCATCGGCTTATACTGTTTTCCCGTTCTTCTATTGGAGATGAGTGGGCGTGTATGTCTGTGTGAGTTGAGTTTGAGTGCAAGAAAGAGTGTATATCAAAGCGGAAATACAAAGGTATGTATCCACCGCGCGGGAGAGTGTATGTGCGTGCCAGACGTGGATGTGGAAAATGTGGATCCGTTGAGTGGAAGTACAAGGGTGTATGTATGTCGTGCGGGTGTGTGCGCGTTCTATATCACAACATTTCTGTTTCCAGCTTGGCCATACTTACATATTGATAAAACGAACATGGGATCTGTTCCGAAACTTCATAATTAGTGCACTGCATAGCCTCTTAGCAGTTTTTAATCCTGCAACCAAATCCCGCTTTCTCAAAGGTCAAATGGAGTACATGTTTACTATAAATCTGTGCGTGCTAAGTACTTAAGTGCTAAGTAAATGTGTTCCCACCTCCGTTATCGAATAAAAGTGACACCACTCCTTCAACATTCTACCTGATCTCTTCACTGCAATTGTTAGTTCTGAAACCAAACAATTTCTTACAATAAGGCAAACTTTACAACAAATATCATAAATAAATAAGTCAATGGGCTAACAATAACAATAAACGTGGGACAAAGGTAATACTGTTGAAATAGGCTAAAACAAAAATTAAAATAATAGAACAATAATTGAAGAAAGAAAATTGATAAGGCTAATCTACATTTAACAAAAGTACAAAATATAACTTACGAGGGCAGCGCCAAAATTTCCCGTCCTGAATATGAAAGAAACAAAGTAGAGTTAATTTTTTTTTGATTATTTTTTAATATAATCCCCCTTAACTTCAATACACTTATTACATCTCTTTATTAACAACTCAATCCCTTTAAAAAATATTCTTTTGGTTTGTCTGCAAAATAAGCTAAAACAGCCTCTTTTAACTCAACTTTGTCGTTAAACCGCCGTCCACGTAAGTCCTTTTTCAAATATCCAAACAAATAGTAGTCGCTGGGGGGCCATATCTGGACTATAGGGAGGATGATCTATCTGTTGGAACCCACACTCTAAAATACCAGCTTGTGCAACACCAGCAGTATGGACAGATGCATTATTGTGCAAAAGACGCACGCCTCTGGTCAGTTTTCCTCGACGTTTTACACGTATGCAGTCTTGCAAATGATGTAATAATGTAACGTAATATTTACCATTGACAGTTGTATTAATAGTTTCTTTAAAATCTATCAAAAGAATTCCTTCACAATCCCAAAAGATCGTGGCCATCACCTTTTTTGTTAACTGGCAGACTCTGAGTTTTCTTGGAGGTGCTTCAGTCTTACGACGCCACTCCCTTGATTCTTTTTTCGATAGAGCGTCATAATAGAGAACCATAGTTTCATCTCCCGTCACAATAGTTTCTATCACAGGCTTCGGTTCCGACTCACAGAGTTTCAAAGAAGACCGCGCACACTCGACACGGCGTTGTTTTTGAATAGCCGAAGGTTTTTGGGAACCCATCGTGCACTAACCTTATGCATACCTAAATGATTATGCAAGATTCGACGAACACTTTTATCAAAAACCTTAGTAATTTCTGAGATTTCCTTGACCTTTAAACGTCGATCACTCGATACCACCTCTTTCACAGTCGCAACAATATCTTCCGCTATGACCTCCGCTGGTCGAAAAGTTCTTGAATCATCTTCAAGAGACTCCTGCCCCATTCGAAAACGTTTTGCCCATTCTTTCACTACAGAATACGAAGGAGAACTTTGGCCGTACACACCATCCAACCTTTATTTAATAATTTTAGGTGCTAATCCTTCTTTTGTCAAAAACTTTATGACTGCTCTATAGTGAATTTGCGACATTTTTTCGGACACGTCTTGTTTAAAATGCTGTCAATAAAAAACTATTTGACGCAAGACTAAGATACATATTTAAAATAAGACGAAGTTTTATCGTGATACTGAAGCTGCATTTGTCAGGCCGGGAAATTGTGGCCTAACCTCGTATATCGGTTTCGCAGACCCATAAGAAAATGAATTCTTTGTGCTTTGTGTATATTGGTATCTCATAAAGATTGTTAAAAAGTGTACAACAATTATGAACAATACTCCGGTTCGTAGTTTTTTGCAACAAATATTCCGGGTATTCAGCATTTGAGCATCGTATGTAAAAAGCAGGGTAGGGGAAGTTTCTGTCTATTGGTGATGTTAAGCCAGCGTAATTCTTTCAAATTTTCACTATTACGATCGTTGAGTTTTAGATTGAATATGGAACGATACATGGGTTTTGCACTGTGGCCAAATCCAAACAGGGACCAAATACAAAATTTCAATAGTTTATATGACATAAAAGCAACGCTTCAGGCAGTGATTTATTTAACTTTTTGTTAAGACTTTGTTTGTTTTTGTAGAAGTTCCTTAAGTTACAATAACTTTTTTGTATAATTTTAGAAACACGAATCGTGAACCTTAATTTATTGGCAAAAATCACACCCAAGTTTTTGCATTCGGAAACAATCGGTATTTTAACATTATTGATTGAAATGTCAAACAGCTTAGTAGCCCAACTTTTAAAAGTTAATAATGCCCGGTATTGCAATCTTCTATTTAACTTCTGTAAAATTTCAGCAACCTCAAATGTTAGGAAACTAACATATTAGGCGTTAGTGAAGTGAAGATAATAAAGGACAAAGGTCAAGGAAGAGAACCTTGAGGTACACCTCTGTCAAACACTAATGCCCCCGGCCTCCCATTATCAATCTCTACTATCTGTAATATTTTTTCTAAATAACAACGAATTAATCTTATTGTTTTTGGTTTAAATGCATAAAAAAAAGTTTCGCACAGAAAAGGGAGTGACTAAGAGTGTCCAAAGCCTTACTATAGTCTAGTAATACCATAGCAGCCAGCAGAATACCATAGAGAACTTTACACAGCGCTGTTGCGGTGCTGAACTATTATTATGAATTATTATTATTAAATTAATTTTTCGTATACTTGAAAGCGTCAACATTAAGCTAATATTTTTTGGAGCACTAACTTTCGATAAAGGCAAAACTATTGCAATTTTCCATAGCGCAGGAAATGCTCCTTGCTCAATACATGAATTATTGCTGGACATCACAGACCACGTCATCATTAGCTACCAACACCAACTCTAATTCAGTGCTCATGGTAACTCCACATGACCCAAGTCAGAAATAACGTTCCAAATATGCTTCAAACGCAGCTTGTAGACAGTGCCACACGCATCGAATGTAAAAGAAAGTATAATATGCATAGAACAAACACGGACGTTTGCCGTATGTATCAAAACGTGTGTTAGCGCACGATGCGATTGGTCTGTTACTAATCGGGATTATATAATTTCGGAGTCGACAGGCCATTTAACTAAAATCTTGCTCGCCCCGCATTGAAGCAATTTCACGAAATTCGTTTTACGTGTAGGTTAGGAAGCAATGCATACTCACTTAAACTAAAATCGCAATTTGTTTTCTGTTAAACGGCTTTAAGGTGCATTTGCATAGGAAATTTTGCGTCAAGTAAAGAATAAAACAAGTGAAATATTTGGTGCTTTCGTTTCTAATAGTCTTACGCTCGTAAATATTTATGAACCATATTAGAATACGCTCAGATCTGATATAGAATTAACAAGGACCGAATTAGCATCGATAAATAAAGAGGAAATGACGATTTTGAATGAAGCAATTCCGTAGATTGCAGAAAACAAAACAAATTAGAATAGAACTTTGCGGTTTTTTATACCACACCCTCCCCCTCCGACCCCAAAAAGAGCCCAATTCGTATATATACAATAGGGGTATTATAAATTCAGCTATCAACACACAAACTCCGCAGTTACATGTAAACGACTTTCGCCGTTGGAAATTCTACGTTCGTTTTCAATTTTAGCTTGTCCTGAAAATGTAATTTTAAAAGCAAAAAACGTACTGGGGAAATCCGTAGTGGTTGTTACGGAAAAAAAGATTGTTCGTTGCATCCCACGGGCTTGACTTTCGACCTCTCCTCCCATGGTTTGTCAGCGCCGCGTCACCAGAATACTAATAGGTAAGCTATTTTACAATTTTAAAACAGCCGATTCAATAAACACAAGTGACACTGACATACATTATTAATTCAATCTTGTTCGATGGAGTGTTTCCTTATATGTGGAAAATATGCATATAGTAAAATAATTACATTACAGTATTTGAATACCAGATCAGGCTTTAGGCCAGGATATAAATGTACAGGGTGTTCGCAATTCGTTTTCACTGCGAGTCATGGTACATTTCTCCGCTGCAAGGTGACTATAGAGATATGGAGTAACTAGTTTTTTTCAGATTTTATTTTTATATATATATATATATATATATATATATATATATATATATATATATATATATATATATATATATATATATATATATATATATATATATATATATATATATATATATATATATATATATATATATATATATATATATATATATATATATATATATATATATATATATATATATATATATATATATATATATATATATATATATAATCTCCGTAACCAAATATGTCTATACACTTTCAAATTCTTGGAGCTTCTGAAATTGACTTTCAATTTTCTACTTTTGGTTCACAAAGTTACAAGAGTGGAGATTGATTTGCGCCAATGGTATAAATGACTGTATTTTTTCTCTCCTCAGCTCTCTCTATCTCTATCGCATATATGTATGCGCATATATGTGTGCACATATATGTGTGCGCATATATGTGTGCGCATGTATTGGTGCGCATATATCTGCGCCCACATGGAGTGTGCGCATATATGTGTGCGCATATGTGTGTGCGCATATGTGTGAGCGCACATATGTGTGCGCATATTGTACATGAATTACTCCTTCGGGTATGGTCATCTCAGTGCTTGCTAGGCATTGGAGATGACCCGGAGTGTAGGTGGTGCATGGAAGGGGAGGAGACCCCGTATCATCTGCCCACCGAGTGCCCTGCCTTGACATGGGCAAGATTGGGAGTCTTCGGAACGGCCCTGATCGATCCGGACTCAGTGCACGGTATTGGGCTAAAGGAGTTGCTGACCTTCTACAGGAGGGGCGGCATTCTGGACGCACTCTAGAGCGGCCTGGGGGCACAACGGGCCCATCTGGTGGCCTAAGTGCTTGGACGCCCGCGAGGGCGCCCCCCTTTAATACCAATACCAATACCAATGGTCATCTCAGACCTTGACTGGAATGACTATGATAGAGTTATGATTTAAATGGGTAGCTCAAATTTATCTATATTCGATAGGAATCATTGGACAATGATTAGATAAATTGAAGGTGTGAGGTTGCTGAAAGGGTAAATTTGATTTTGTATCTTGAAGAATTGATTCTGGCGTTTGATTAGGGGGTATAAAAAATAAATTCGATTGCCTTTAAGGATTGAATTGGTGTTTTTATTTAATACTATTTGGGTTTTTGATAAAATACAATTTATTGATTTTTGGTTAGGTTATCATTTTGTAGATAATTATT